GGGGGGAGCGGGGCGGGGAGATGGATAAACTGACCATCATCTCAGGATGTCTCTTTCTGGCCGCCGATATCTTCGCCATCGCCAGCATCGCCAACCCGGACTGGATCAATACCGGGGAGTCCGCAGGTGAGCGGCGGGGGCGCGGGCGACTGCTGAGGGCAAAGCGAACGGAGGGGAGACCCGGGATGAGGAGAAAACGGGGCTTGAGGGTCCGAGGCGGGGGCCGGCCTGAGGAGAAAGGGGGCGGAGAAGAGAGCCGGGCTGCGGAGAAAGGGCGGCCCGGGCTGTGGGAAAAAGGGGGTGGACAAGAGGACTCGGCTGGGCCGGGAGTGAGACCCCCAGGCAGACGAGAGGGGCGCCCCATGCTGAGTGAAAAGTGGCCAAGGGGCGAAGAGATGCGTGCTGGCCTGGCAGGTCCCGGACCGGGGAGGGTGGGGGCGGCAGCCGCCAGACTTGAGAGACCGAGGAGAACCGAGCTTCGTTCTGGATTTTTTTTTTTTTTTTTAAAAAAAAAAGAGTGTAAAGGTGGCAGACGGGAGGAGCCGGTTAGGAGGAAACCGAGGCGCCGGCGAGGGAATTGGAAACCAGGCAGAGAGCCTGGGGCTGAGAGAACGAGGTCCAGGGGCTGGCAGCGAGGCAGTCTGTGGGCAGTGCGAGAAGTGCCATAGAGCCGATGGGCGAGGGGAGCCTGGTCTGACCCCAGACACCCCAGCCAGCCACCCCAGGAAGCTGCGGCCCGATGCGAGGTGACCAGGCGGCGGGCGCTGACCCGGAAAGGCGGGGTTAGTGGTTGATGCCGGGAGAGCTAGTGGTGTTGGATGCGGGTCGGATCAGATCCCCTCCCTCCATCCCTTGCCTGCTTGGCAATGTTTGAGACCCATGTGGCTTCCGATTTTCCCTTTGAAATGAATGTGGTTATAGTTTTGCTTTATTTTAGGCCCGGGAGCTATAATACTAATAATAAACTTCGTTTTATGGAGCATCCTTTATTCCGGCGCGTCGCAAAACGCTTCAGAGATCTTAACACAAAAAAACACTGCCTTCGAGTGGATTCCGACTCATAGCGACTCTGTGGGACAGAGTAGAACTGTCCCACAGGGTTTCCAAGGCCATAAATCTTTATGAAAGCAGACAGCCACGTCTTTCTCCTGCAGAGCGGCTGGTGGGTTTGATCAGCCGACCTTTCGATTAGCAGCCAAGCGCTTAACCATTGCGCCACCAGAGCTCCTATAGATCTTAATAGTAGTTAAAAAAGTAAATAACACATTAGAGTTGCCGCCAGCCCGACAACAGTAGCAGTGTCTGCTGAAACACCACGGAGTTCTAGGCAGGCGAGACATGCATCGCTCTGCAAGGGTATCCCAGGTGACTGAGCTTGCATTGTTTTTCTCAGCTTAGGCCACTACGCGCACACACACATATACTCACACACACTCTTACACTCATAGTCATACTTACCCAGACCTGTGAGATCAGACCTTTCACTAATGTAAATAGATGTTGGGAGAGCTGATTGGAATTAAGAAATAATCTTTTTTTTTTAACTGCCTGTTCAGTGCAGGTGAAGGGAGTAGTTTGTTTTTTTTGGGGGGGGGCGGTGGGCGGGGAACCTGTCAAGCTCTATGAATCATTTATTATAAAAAATGTATCACTACTTTGTCAAGCTTACTTCTTAAGTATCACTTATTGTTCTGTATTTATCCTGCAATATTTTTAGCTCTTAAAAAAAAAACCCATAGCTGGGACATTTGTTGCTTTCTCCTCCCTCCCTTCTCTCCCCCAATCTAGACCTAGTAACACAAAATCACGCTGTCAGATTTACTGGTTGTTAAAATAACACTCTAAAGAATTCTGCTCCTCTTGTTGGCTCTACAGTTTTAGCAGAGGTCTTAATTGTAAAGCATTAAAAAAAGTATCAGGATGATTTAGAATTTGGTGACACTGTAGGCTTTGTGGAAACGCTGGTGGCGTAGTATTTAAGAACTACGGCTGCTAACCAAAAGGTCAGTAGTTCGAATCCACCAGACACTCCTTGGAAACCCTATGAGGCAGTTCTGCTCTGTCCTATAGGGTCACTATGAGTTGGAATTGACTCGACAGCAATCAGTTATGGGCCTTGTTTCTGAAAATGTAGGGAATGCCAGTGTTACTGCTAGTTTGTACAGTTATATGTGTAACTGATCCCTGATCTTTTGTTATTGTTTTTGTCCTAATTATATGTGTAGTGACTCCTTTTATAAGACTTTCTTTGGGGCTTTACATGGAGCAAAGGATGTCACTCTTCTAGCAGGAAGATCCTTTTTGCAAAGAAGTTTTAGGTGGAATCCCAATAAATAAAATACATTAAATGCTCATAGGAAAGATATAATTGAGAGAGGGAAATATTACTTATATAGAAGAAGGAAGAGGTAATAGCATACCGTTTCTGAGAAGATGGAAAGAAATGGCATTCAAAGCACAGAGAAGGGAATACCTCCTCTATTATATTGGTAAGAAAGCAAGGATAGGATGGGTACAACTTCTTCAAAGTAGGGAAAGTCATCTGCTGTGAGTTGCCATAGAGGTGGGAGGGACAGAAGTTCAAGGTTTGAAGGAAGTAGAAAATGTTTGAAATACGTAAGTAGTCATTGCAGAGAGAGCATGCCAACCAGAGACACAGCAGGATTACCTAGCAGTGTTGAAGCTTAGTTGAAGTTGGTGGTCATAGTGTGATGATCTCTCTGCCCTGTTATTTGACCTTCTGGTTGTCATGAGTTGGAATCAACTTGAAAGCAACTGTTTATAGCAGTGCTCAGCTACTGTGGTACCAGTGTGGTGAAAGCCAATAGAAGGTTTCATTCAGGGCTGGAGTTTGTCAGATACATGCAAAAAAAAAAAAAAAAAAAGATACAACGACAAAGGTGTTTAGGGTACTGGCCAGAATAACATTGTAAAGATGGATCATGTAATCTTAGTTGGATAAAGAGTAAAAGTGAATAAAGGAAAGAGCTGACAGGTTGATCAGTGGAATAGCAGATGGTATATGGTAAATGAAATAATGGACACAATAAAATTGAAGACCAGTCAGAGTGGGAGTGACTGATAGAGCAAAGCAGAAGGACGGGACTGTGGGCACAGAGGGGACCATTTGGATTAGTGTTTTATAAGGTAGAGCATTTTCTCGTGATGACAAGTTTCATAATGTAACAGTGGTGATGTGTGGCTGAGATGAAGTGGAAGCGGTGTTTTTTTTCTAATAGCTTCCCTTGTCATCTCAGGATACTCTTCAGATAAACATTCTATGGCTAGAGAGACAAGTAATAGCGTAGGAATAGTAGGAAAATTTTCAAAATCATATCTAACATGTGACTTTTAATATGTCAGACAATAAATCCCCCCCCCAAACTTAAAATAAATTGGATAGTATGTTCCTTTATTCATTGTTGTACTCTTCAACTGTGGTAAGATGCACCTGAACTTTGCTTGGGATTTGATTGAGCTAGTATAGGTTTACTTGAGCAGACAGATGCAGCCTTGAGTTAAAAAAAAAAAAAAAAAATCAATGGACAGAAGTTCAGATAAGATCTCAGCGGTGGTGGGACTAGTTTTACTCCAACATCTGCACAAAAGTAACTTAATTTGGCAGCAAAACTTAGTGTGTTGTTTCCCTTCAGTGCATTGTATAGAGTGTAGAAAAGTTTTGATCATGCTGTTTGTATTGTAGTTTTAAGAATGGCTAAAGTATATTTTGAAAGTAGAACTCCTAGAACTGAAAGGTTCTGCAGAATACAGTTTGAAAACTGCTGTAGTGGACTACTAAGGGAAAGTTTCAGGATTCATATCCAAGCTCCATCACTTACTAACTGTGACAGGTTAGTGGTGCAAGTTATTTTGCTTCTCTGTGTCTCAGTTTCCTCTTGTGTAAAGTAAGGTTAGTAACAGTACCTATCTCGTTGGGTTACTGTGATGATTAACTGAGCTAATCCATGTAAAACTTTAGGACAGTGCCTGACACATAGCAAGTGCTCAATAAAAGTTAGATATTAGTGGTGGTGGTGTATTATGGTTGCGGCTGTTTTTATTTTGTAGTTTATAGTAACAGGTATCAGAATCTCAGTTTTGAAATTAAAACCCAGGACTTGTTACTATGAGAACTGAAATGTTTTCCTTATTATATGTTCTTGGGAATAAGAAAACATCAAGAATAATAAAGCCAGGCCTAGAACAAGTTAAGAAATAAGTTTGTCTTCCCTCTTGGCTTTGGACTTCCTCCATCACTCCCATACTGTTCCTCCTCTTCTGGTCTCGCATTCCATGTTCTGGTCTTTCTCCTCAACTTCTACTTGAGCCAACACAGAAGGAAATGAAGTTTTAAAAAAAACAAACACTAAAACTGAATAGAATAACTTCCTAAAATCCTGACTAATAAGCTTTATTACTATAAGAATATAGACCATGCTTCAGGCTGGCACAGTTTTAGTTTGTTTTTATTATATGGGTCCAGATACAGAGAAAGTACATTCTTTCAACTGTGTGTGGTAGCATTCCTTGCTCTTGTTGTAATAGTTTGTGGATTATGTACAAACTTCTGAAGATACAATGAAACAGAAAAGATAGTACATGTATGAGGAAAGTACATGGGGGGCACTTCTGTAAGAAACCTTAACTGTTTCTGTTAATGTAACCAGAAAAATGGTAGGTGAATATAATGTCAAAATTACATAATTCTGCTATGCTGAAGTCATGTTTCTGCTGGTTACTGGAATTCAACATCAGTAACAGTAGCTTTCATTTTATATAGTGTTTTATAGTTTTTTTAAATTATAATGTATTCAGCAACACATACAACATTTCATCAGTCTCTACATGTACGCATCAGTGACATTGATTACATTCAAGTTGTACACCCTTTTTCACTCTCTTTTTTCCAAACTATCCCATCACCCTTAATATACCTACAGTATGCTCCAAGCCAAAAAAACCCTCTTTCCCCCTCTTCCCGCCCCAGGTAACCACTAATTACTTTGAGTTTCTATATATTTACTTATTTTATGTAAGTGTTATCATACAATACTTGTCCCTTTGTGTCTGACGTATTTCTCTCAGCATAATGTCCTTAAGGTTCATCCATGTTTTGGCATGTATCA